CACACACACACACACACACACACACACACACACACACACACACACACACACACACACACACACACACACAGCACGTGCCTGTAGTGCAGCCTCAGTGTTTGGTCCTGGTTGTTGATGCCTGTTCCAGTACTAGCCTTATTCTGTCGCTCAGAGCAGCAGGGGAGAGCTACATCTGTGCCATGTTTGCTTGTGATGTGGGGTACAGAAATAGAAGTGAAGGAGCCAGCGTTTGAAACGACCATTCAGCTCTCTGACTTCTTTGGGTAAAAATAAGCTGTCTGGGACACGGCGGGCTCTTTGGTGTTCAGTTTAACATCTGCTTGTCATAACCTTGTGCTGCATCATACCGTAGCTGGGCAGCAACAGGTGTTCGCTTTTCAGCTGACTGGATGAAATTTCAATTGACTGTTTCACTGTTGGTATTAAAAGAGGTAGATGTCTTCTGAAATGTTGGCAGCTTAATGGCTAAATATGCTGTAATACAAGGAAGAAATACAATCCAAAGATATATTTCTTCCACATTATATGTCTTGTCTTAATGTTTTTTAAAGTCATAGAAAAAGTCACGTTATAGTACAGTCAACTGAAAAGTATTTAATCCAAAAGGTTTATAGTACAGTGTACCATAACAAATGTCATAGCATAGAATGCCAGCAAAATGTCTTAAAGGTCAAACATATTTGTCTGAGCATGGTATGTCACAACAATATCATAAGTCTTTTGATTTATTCTATATATTGCAGGGAAAAATGCCAAATACATTTTAAAAAAAAACACGGATACATTCAATTGAAAAGATTTAAATAGAAAATGCCAAGAAATAATTGTATCGTCAAGTATATAAGTGACGAAAAAAATGAACAATATCATCAATATAGGCACATGGTGCTGATTTTATGTGTGTAAACAACTACAATAAAATAACTAATTTGGACTGATAAAACAAGCTAAACCCAAGTCAGCAGGCCACAGTAAGCAACAGACACTGCACAAATAGCTAGTAGGCAGGTTAGTAAACAGTAACCCCACAGAGAGAGAAGGGGTGTGTTTCCCACTCACCCAGATTGTAAAAGAAGGCCATTCTCCATATCGGTGAAGTGTTCAATAAGCACGTCGTAGAATTTCCCAAAAGCATTTAGGTCCTCGACAACATTAGAGTCAATATCTCTGATAGTCTGGGAGTTGAACTGTGGTCCAATTTAATTTTGCTGCTGTTGTAGTGTGAAGTTAGAAAAAGGTGTTTTTAATAAGTATTCAAAATGGCCAACATCCATAGCACATGCTTACGATGTTAGCCTACATGCTAACCATGTGGATGTCAGTAGCATACCAACCCTCCCGATTTTCGCGGGAGACTCCCGATTTCATTGCCCTCTCCCGGTTTCCTCCCGGGGTCATATTTCTCCCGCATTTCTCCCAATTTCTGACAAAATCAGATTTACTCACGACTGTTTCCACTCGGACTTTAATACAGCTACACCATTGTTTGGTTTCCAGGGTAGCGCGTCTCTTTAGTAGCGCGCGCAAATGAAAGTCTGAGAGGGTGAGGAAGAAAACTGAACAAGAATCGACAACTCTCCCCTCTGCTCACTCCTTTCCTGTAAAATACAGGTCCAGCCCACACATATGCTCCATCAAAGATGGTGCTACAGGCCGCAAGGCATTGCACCTACAACTACAATAAGCATGTTAATGTTAATCTCCCCCCCCACCGCGGTGGTTTTGAAAGGTCTCAAGGTTGGCAAGTATGGTCAGTAGACGTTGATGCAATTTCATTGGTGGGTAGCCAAAGGCTGGGTGGCTTCCCTTTGCATTACCCTGAATAATCACAGAGAGGCAGTGGCCTCAGTTGAAGGGTCAATCCCTCAATTTTTTTTCACCAAGGGATGCCAATTTCGCCTGGCCTCATCACGGCCGTGATTAGTTTACAGAAAGTGCAGTACTGTGTGTCACCAGAATGGCGCTGTATCACCCTTTTTAAAATGCTCAATGACAATAAGGGAGAGGTGGCAGCAACACACCGCATAGGTAAATTACCCGAACTGTAAAAAAGAGAATACGCCACTGATTTCCATATCATCAAGCATAATCTCGAGCAGTGTACCAGAGTTGTAGTAGAATCAGTATCATTGATGTATAAAGCGATTTTGTTAGCACAACTGTATGACAGGGAAGTTAATATATATTTTACACAATACAAATAATCACCATCATATGAAAACGATGTTTTCCCCTAAATGGTTCATGTAAGATAACCAACAATGTGTGGGGAGTAATAAAGTGTATTTACATTTTTCACACAGATGCCGGTGGGTCAACATCATTTCTAAGACTTTTTAAAAAAAATCCAAACCCATAGTGACATTAATGACTGGTCTTTGATCATACACGGTACTTGATGTAGTTCTCTGAAAATATGTAGATGGCATTAAATACCATTTATTGTTCTTGAGGTGTTTTTGTTCAAAGACTGTCAATATCACTTCCCAATCGCTTGAGGCTTAAACTCTCCTCACAAGCTCTTCTATCTAAGGCCGAGGCCAACACTGTCCCCAGCAAGAATGGCACGCAACACAGTTAAGTGGATCTGTCCAATAATTCACTTCTGCTTGTCATAGGTATCGATTCGTAAATGCTAATTCTGTATTCTCTGTTGATGTCCTCAACCTGTCACAAAGGTCAATAAGTGAGTATTGGGCCAGCTGCAAAGGCGCCGTGTGTCAGAGAGGCAGAGAATCAGGGGTCCATCATTTTATCCACCTGCCAATCAAACCTGTTATGTTTAAAGACAAGTGGCAAACCCCTGAGGAAGGCTCTTTCAAAATGTTCGCATTCACTGTGTTTGGTATCTCTGTGCTTGCTACTATATGTTGTGGTTTGTTTGTGTGTCCATATCAACAGAGTGAGTATGTGTTGTCCACAAGGTGGATGATTGTTGTCTTACGCTGAAGGATGCTACAGGCTAAAAATAACCGAGGCCACAATAAAGAAATGACAAAAGCAGTAATAAGAATCTCAGCCCCATGAAGTCCTAATGCAATTACACACAGTTGTTTCTGCAGAAATCAACAAGAGAATTAAAGTTGAAATGACTAATTTGCAAAGACAAGCAATACAACAGGCTCCAGCTATGTTCTCTGGCTTTGAGGGCATATAATGCAAAGTTCATCATGCATTATTAATAAGTCTTATATTAAAAGTAATATATGCAGCTTCCTGAGCCTCCTATTACAGAGTGGGAGAGGAGCTATTGATTTAACACTTTCTGTGTTTGACGCATCATGTGTTCATGCAAAGACGTGTATTTGTAAAATGTATTTTGTTGAAAGCAGTAGGCAATAAAATATGGAACATTTCCGCATTTATAAATCCTGATCCACATAAAACTAAAAAGTGTTAAATATAAATTAAATAAGATACATTGTGTACATGTACAAATACATGTATTTTTTTTGTTATATTCCCTATCATACTTTTTTTTATGTGATTATTCCTTAAAGGTCCCATGTCATGCCTTTCCGGTTATTACCCGTCCCCTTGTGTGTTATGAAGGTTTTTCTGCATGTAAACGGTCTGCAGAGTCAAAAACCCTCAAAGTACACCCTGTAGGGAGTAAAACTCTAACACAGAAAATACCTGTCTATGCTGCCCCAGAACGTCTCGTTGGACATTTTTCTTTTTCCATTTTTTTCTTCCCAAGTATAGTGACGTGACCATACCCAGGTCCAAATGGACCAATCCGTGGAGACACACACACACACACACACACACACACACACACACACACACACACACACACACACACACACACACACACACACACACACACACACAACACACACACACAACACACACACCCACACACACACACACACACACACACACACACACACACACACACACACACACACCACACACACACATCTTTTCTCAGCAGCGGCTCCGCGGATTTCTCAGGCCGAGTTTCGCGATGTCTCGCTGTCTCGCAGACCCCACGCAGCAACCAGGAAACGACACCAGTAAACCAGCTCACACTGTCCGCACCCAGACCCCACGCAGCATTCTCATCTGTTTGTCATTACTGGTGTCCTTTTCCGGTTGCTAACAAACGCTGTTGTAACACATACACACACATCAGAGCACAGTGGGCTCATAGGGAGGGGGGGCAGGGGCAGTGTAGGACAGAGAGTGAATACACATACTATACAGAGATGCTGTATGAGAAACCAATGAGATTTAGGAACATTGAACAATGTAAATCTATTCTAGTAGACCTCAACAATGGAATTATGATCAGTAGAAATGGCCATGACATGGGACCTTTAAAACTCACCTGCATCACATGAATGACTCTTTCAAGCTAGCTCCACTGCTGCTACCACATTTAGCTAATTAGCTCATGTTAGCTAGCTCAACACCAAATGTCAAAGAAATTCTGAATTATCCAACGTAAATAAACCAAGTAGACAGAAAAAGGTATCCAACTCCAACTTGTTTAGCCTTATAAAAGCTCTGCATGCTAGCGATCTCGCTGGCTAGTTAGCTTGACTAAGCATGTGAGGTGAGTGAGGAGCCAGCTTTAGCGTTGTGTTCACAGAGCTGTGTGGGTTCTCTTTAAATGCAAAAATCAATGTATAGGCCTACAAGGTTTAACTCGGGTTCATATTTTTGTTTTGTTTTTTGATTAATCAAAGATATGTTTAATGTCTAGAGATCTGCCAACTGTGTTAGGAGAAAGGGGCACAACTTGGAAAATGTGTTAAAAATATGTATTTTATCATGTAGCCTAACAGACAGATGTATTTTTTCATCTAGATGGTTATTCTGGAAATGCCTTCAGAATATTATCAGTTGTTGTTAAAAAAACAGATTGAGATATATATGTTTTGGGGAAATCACTTGCCTAGTGCTATGGCAGCTGTGAATGTGGCTACACATGAGGGGCTTAAACAGGTATCCAACATAAAAGCTGTCAAAACAGAAGGACATTAGATCAAACATTTACATATTTAATATTCACTTTAATGGTTCTGTTTTTCCAGCTGCGTTTTTATAATTGAATTGTGATCACATTACACAAACCTTAAAACCAGCATGTCAACTGCACTCGCATGTGAGAGTAATCGGCAAATAATAATAATAATAGGCCTACATTAAAAAAAATTATTAGAGCGCTTTTACAGGTGCTCAAAGCGCTTTACAAGTACACATTACACATATTAGACATGTAAGAGTCATTACTGCGGACATTACCCACAGGAGCAAATGCGGGTAAAGTGTCTTGCCCAAGGACACAACGGCCTGACGCAGTGGCGGCTGAGGCGGGATTCGAAGAAGATGTTTACATCTTCTTGGACCCGACATATTCGCTCCGGTTCAAAAGGTTTGAGCTTCTTAATTCTAGCACTGTTCCTGGGCCCTGTCCCACAGGAATTAGTCTTGCCATCCTAGACACGTTGTTTTGATATTACAGAGGTTTTTTACAAAGGTTTTTCCCAGATACTACAGCCGCTAATGCACTAATTACAGTCTGTCACCTTATAAGAATATCGCTTCCTGTTAGTCTGTCCATAATGCTCTTGTGTAAATATGTTTTTGTACTCTGTGTAACAAGTGTACAGTCATCTACCAGATCAAGAATAGGTGTGTGGGCCTATTGTCCACCTGTAAATAACTCCAAAGCCTGTTCTCTATCAAATGAAATATTTAAGTGGCTCCCAGAGTAATAAAGTAAGAATTGATTAGAGGGCGTGCCCCTGCTTTGGCACGCCTGGAGCAGGAGGGAAGCAATAAGAGAGGTAATTAGAGGAAGAGAAATAGGAGAACGATTGAGAGAGGGGATAGATACACTTGTGTCTATCTTTGTGTCGGCCTTTGTATTTAACAGAGTTACAGTCAAAGAGCAAGCGCTCAATTCAACACTATGACATCAACAGTAGGGTAAAGTAACCAAATTAAATCTATGTAAATATCTGAGAATAGCTACTGAGATGTGCAGTCAGACAGCTTGTCATTATCAAGTTCAGTCCATCTGAGTAGGCATGTGTGCAAGTCACAAACTGGTGTTCTATTTCTTAAGCATTGCAATGCACACAAACATGTGTCTCCACAAAGCACATGCATGCCATCTAGTGTTAAACTCTAGTAATACAGGTGGTTCAGAGAGGATGTACATTGCCATCAGCCAGATCAAAGTAAACAGGAATAGACAAGAGACATTTAACACTTTAGAGAATATGACAAAATCTTTACAAAAAGTGTATAAGGTGTAAACATTCCATAACTGGTGAAGTGTTCAGAGAGGTTGTAGTAGTCCCTTCTTCAGAGTTGTATAAGCTGTCAGAGGAAAGTGTGAAACACGCGATTCCTCAGACTTTTGGTTCCAGGAACACTCCTTGTAGAGAATTTGATCATCTTCAACAGATTAGAAAAGCTTCCCAATCTGGAGAAAGGAAACCAACGAGCGTTCCGTTTGTTCCCGTGAAGGCTCCAGAAAGAGGAGGAGCAGCGCTGGAAAACCTCAATGTTGACCGCATATTGACCTGGGGCCCATTGAGACACACACACCAGAGTCACAGAAGAGGCAACATCACAGGTGTGAGGAGAAACGGCATGAAAAACAGTCTCCCCCGGCCTCACAGATGCACCCCTCTCCCAGACCATGCCTGCCTCCTCTGCCACCCCCATGCCGCTGATGTTACAGAGCGCCAGCAGGCACACTTCCTCCAGGGCCTCTTTGTCAGGGAAGCGGAGCAGGATGGCGACCAGGCGAGGCACCGCACCCCGACGGAGCAGCAGGTGCTGCAGCTTGGCTGGAGGCATAGAACCAAATAAAAAATAGTTGTTTAGATGTAAGAGAGCTTCATAGCAATTGAAAAAAACCTGGAATAATGTCAAAAAATGTAAAAGGGGAGGAAAGGGAATGGTTATATTTTATTGTATTATCCATTTTGTTTGTATAATTCTGATATTTAAGTGTTTTTCCGTATTTTTACTGTATTTTTTATTTATGTTTCTTGCAAATATTTCGCAATTGTACATTTTCCAACTGTTATTGTATTTTAATTTTCTTCTCTTTTATCTGATATTTATGTTTCTTGTTCATATTTGAAATGACTTTTTTCATATTTGTATTCTAGAGTTCTTTTATAAATGTATGTTTCTTGTACATTTCATTGTTTTTTCTTATTTGTATTATTTAACACTTTAAGTTTCTTGAACATGTTTTAAATGTATTTTTTTTAAATTATGTAATTGTATTTGTCCTTGCATTCTATATTTATGTTGATTCTACATCTTTTTTATTTGTTTTTTTATTATCTTTTAAAGGCGCCCTATTGTGCTTTTATTGCTTTTTAATGCTTTTTATTTTTTGCAATAACAAAGCAAATTCCTTTAGTGTGAAAACCCAATAAAGCAGATTCCTATTCTGATGCATTAGATTGAAACCTTTAAAGACATGTACTCACAGCTGTCACAAGACATGCGAGAGATGGCTCTTGCAGCGTGGAGCAGCAGCTCTTGGTCTAGACTGGTCAGCACGGACAGCAAAGCCGGAGCTAAACCTGCATCACCGAAACCTTTACGAACCACAGCTGACAGGAAACAAACAAACAATGAATTAACATAAAACCACATTAATACAAAGATATAAAAGAACAGAGAAGCAGGCCTTAAGGGCAACTGACAGGAAATGTACTTTTAAGAATCAAGGGCTTGAATAAGAAACTATGTATTAATAAATGATCTGTCTGAATAACTCACACTCCTTGGCGAGTTCAGCCACAAGCTTAGCGGTGGGCAGAGTGAGAGGCCCCCTGCTCCTCAGAGACAGGGCCAGGATGGGCAAGATCCCACTGATCACTACCTGCTCAGCAGCGCCTTTCTCTGGACACACGCAGAAATACACATGTAAACAACACAGTCACACACAACATGTTATAATCCTGTCATTTAACACGCCACAGCCGAGGAATTATGAGGCTTTAAATATCAAGAATATCGATAGGATGTGTGTCTTTAATCTTCAAACTGAATAGAATCTGTTTCAGCCTCACTGTTAATGTGATCTCTGTAACCCGCCTTTACCTCCTCTATGCTCCTGCTGCTCTTTGCTGGGAGACACAAATACAGCTTAGCGTCTAGCGAGGACTTACAACTGTCATACACCTGATCCCCGCTCAGCCCTCACCGGTGTGCGCTTTGCTCCAGGTTTTAAAATGGGGAGCTCTTATGATAAAGCTGCCAGTAGCAGTGGGAGGAATGATGTCTTATGAATTGTATAGGTGTATGGAGAGACATCAATATGTACATATGTGGTAGCAGGAATATAAGCATCAAATGAAAGGCCAGAAAACAACAATGAAACTTGTCATTTCTGTGACATGTGTTGATGTATTTAGTGCTGTAGTATGAAGTGTTAAGTCTAGGCTTGAGTAATAGCACAGCCTGGAATACAATTACTAGTGACATATCACAGTGTTAAGAATTGAATGAACTCACTCTTCTCCTTAATGTTGGCCAGCACTGTGTTCAGATGTGGTTCAAGTTCGTGTGCGATCAGTTCCAACCCCAGGACTCTGATAGAGCCCAGCGCATTGTTCAGGTTGTCTGGAGAGAGATTTGGGGAAATGGAGATGTATTAAGAGTTATAAAACGGGGCGAAAATAAGGAAAGGATTCTGTGCGTGGGAATAATCTGAAGTTATTACAGGTGGGTGAGAGAGAAGCAGGGCTGCTCATAAACACATCAACATGATAGGGAGTGTAAAAGCAATGGGAATCTCTATGAACAAGGAGTGAAGAATCATGCAAGTAATTTCAATAATTGTGTGGTGCTCCGATTTATTTCTATATATCCTACTTTCAAAACAACCACAGCATGCTAACGTGCTAATAAACACTAAACAGCGTACAACCGAGGAAGGTGAGTGTGTCATTATTTAAGCAAATATTTGGTCATAAACCAAGGTACTGGACGAATTCAAACTTTGATCTAATGATGACATGTTGAGATATTAAAAGGTTTTAAAGTTCATCAATCTATCCAATAGTTATTTCGTTTTTGAGACAGTCAGTGGATCTCAAACGTTGGTAGGTTTCATCCTGTTGAGACCTAAATGTGTCTACAAAGTCTTATGGCTATCTTTTGCTACTTATTTCAGTCACAACCAACGTGGCATACTGACCGATCGAATGTTTCAGTCCCTAAATATACACCTTGGATTGTTTTTAATCATGTCAAATATATCATTTTGAAGATGTTTGTGAAGAAATATCTATAGGCACATTATATAATGATGCAGTGAATATTCAGGATCTGCCAGATTGGGGTGTTAAAGGCCAAAGATCACATTCTGTTGTCCTCAGGGTCAGGAAAATGTGACTGGTAACGGATTTAGTCCAAGCTTTACAATGATATATAACATCATGATATCCTGTGTATTGTAGGTAACCCTTCACCCCTAATCCTGACTGTTATGTAATGGTGAGAAAACATGCTTTTTTTTTTAATGATGGAGGTATACAAATAGGTAATAGCATGTAGAAAGCTGCAACGGTATCATAGGACATACACCTTAAAAACAAAACCACCACAAATGGTCCCTCCAAATTGGACCCAGAGCCACACTTTGGGGGTGTGGCTAATGGACAAACACTTGTGTAATGAAGCTGCTCTCTGTCCAACAATACGTCTGGTTGCATAAGCAGGTCCCATGTGCTAACATAAAGCATGCACATTACTGTATTAACATCAACTTCACACTGTAAATCATCAACTATACGTCTCCACTTACCGTTTGGTGTGTAGGGTTGTATTTGGCTGGATCTACTGTTCTTGCTGCAGGGACTTGGGTAGCTGTACGTGGGTGGCATACTAGGGTGTCCCATTCTGCTCCATCTCCTGGTGAAACTTTCTCAGGTCGACATATTCAGTTTTCTTTCTTGCTGTGTCGGTCTTTGGAGTCATCAGCTGTTGATTTGAGGAAACGACTTAACCTACACATGGCTCTCTCTTTACTGCTGCCCTGTTGTTGTGTATAAATAAGACAGATGTCTGTTTACACGCCTGTTGAGTCCGTCTTCCTTGTACTCTGCCTGGCCCTGTCCACTCTCAGGGTTAATATAAGCAAATCCTCCCTAAAGCTCCCCCCCCCCTCCCTGGGTGTGCATGTGTGTACTGTAGGTGTGAGAGCAGTTAAGGTATTAGCGCTTGGTTGTATTCTTACCACCCTAACATCTCCCACAATGCCTTGCGAGCTTCGAGTAATTCTGAGAAACACACGGGTGGGAAACTGGCATCCGTTTTTGTACACAAGTGTATTATTAGATGGCATTTTTCCTAAAATGTTTAACAAAGATGTACTGCAACTCTGAAGCCAGATGTCTATACAATTCAACTAATGTAAATGATGATTTGACCCATCATTACAATTTGTTAAGTGAATATTATCCATCTCTGACGTCTGGATTTTAAAAAATAAATCTCCCCAAAACTCAAAACAATGTAATCACTTTTAAATTCAATCCATTCTCTATTTAGGCACGGCTAAATGCGATATTTATGATATCAATATCGCAAGACAATAACAGCATCAAGAGTTTGTTATAAAAATCCAATCTTTATATTTTACTCAAATCCTGAGATTCCAGTCAAAACAAAGGTTTTTATCAACAATCTAGTACAGAACAAAAATATTTTCAATTGGAAATGTAACCAATAAATACAACAGGGACACGGGAGACATTGTACCACCATCAGAAAATATAATCCAGACCTCTGATACTATCTGTTCTAAGTCATGAGCGGCACACCTGAGCACAGGCAGGGTCCTCAGTGTTCAACATGTCTACAAACATCTGTATTTTTTCTCACTGAAAACATAGTTTAAAAAAATTAACTGCATTCAGTTCGACGACACATATGAAACCTGCTACTAAAGAAACAGAGGATTCACTTAAAGGGATGGTTCGGCATTTAGGGAAAAGTGTTATTGATTTACCCATTTCATTTTGCATTTCTAAATGAAAATAAAATATTAAAAGAGACATACAGGTTAATACTGCGCAATTGCTCACAAGCAAGGGACAGGATTAGTGTTCAATGTAATAGTAAGAGTATTAAAAAACACCAGGGATGGTATAGCACACTATAGTATCCTAACTCCTCTCCCTAGTTGACTCCGTTTTCTGTTTTAATTCATACATGGCTTCCACACATCAATGCTATGTCTCCGTTAACACAGATCTACCAGTTTCATGACGTCAACGACGGTCCAATCAGAGCTCTAGGGAAATGCCTGGTGTCAAATACACACTCCAAGAATGCTCAAAAATCAACTCATGATTCCTGATGCATTGATTATTGAAGTGCAGTTGAATATTTTAAACTGAAGATGTTTTTTATTCTTGTTGTGTTTTTTTTTGGCAGATTTTTCTTTAGTAGCATATTAAAAACAAAAAAATATTTCACTGGCATAAACATTACCCAGAAAAATACATTTCAAGTAAAAATGTGAGGATTCGCCCGGGTTGGTGTAAGATTCCTTGCTTGACTTATTATCCCAGTCTGGCCCTGACCAAGAGTTAGACCAGAAGATCGAAACCACATTCATTTATGTACATGAAATATGTAGTAGCAGCTAAGAGTGGAAACAGATAGCCTAGCTTTGTCCAAATTCAATTCAATCTGAACTGCTAAGGCTCACTGAACATGACTTATTCTGTACAAAAAAAAGTGTAGAAAACACAATACCAAACCGTAAAACCACTACTTACACTTCAGAATTTAGTGTGTGGTTCTAACAAAGTAGATGTCAGGTGTTAATTGGGTGGGCTTTCAGTTGCTGGCAGGTGGACTTTGTGATTTTTGGTCAGACACTAACTGTTTTGACCTGTTTCCAGCCTTTAAGGAAAGCGAACCACATGCTGTTCCCAGCTACATATTTAGAATACGGACTGACAACAAAGTGGAATACATCTTCTTATCTAACGCTCTGCAGGAAAGCTAGAGCATTTCCAAGTCTTTTTTCAAGATGTAACATAATACGTTGATGCTGAGCCCGCCATAGCTGTGATCTCTTTTCACAGAGTGTGCAGAGCCTGTGTTTCATCCCTTTGAATGGGACTATAATTGGTTCTTTGGACTGGTCATGTGACATTGTGTCCAACTATCCCTGTTGTATTGAGCCCACTGGAGACAGTCTCATATCCAACAGACACCAGAGTGAGGACATTACCCTGCGCATCATCCGGCTGGCACTGCTCTGCTTGGGTTTCCATCAGAACAGCCGCTGCACTCTCCTGACTGATCTTCTTCCTGGCTTTGCCTCGAGCCTTGCCCTTCGAAATGACCTTCCCTTTCTCGTTGACCCCAGCAGACGCCTTGTGAGGGGACTCAATGTCATTCGGGCGGGATTTTCGATGGCGCCTGCGGATACGGCGCATTGGCGGAGCGGAGTCAGCCGGGTCTGATGCCGCTGCGCCGGACAGGATCCGGATCTGCTGCTCGATAACCATAATGACCATGTCCAGGGCTGCGTCCAACATACCGAGACCCAGGCCGTGAGTGACGTTATCAAACGCACCGCTGTTCACCGGGTCCATGAAGCACTTCCTCATGTCCACCAGGTGGTTCCTAAGAAAAAAAAGAGTGTTATTACGGTCTTCATCTGCACTTCTTGAAGGCTAGGTTATGGCGAGGACATGTAGTACGTACTTAGTTTCAATTATTTTGGACCAGTGTTGAACTGTGTTGGTCTCAGGGATGAGTTGTTTAGCCATGTTGCTGTAGTCGATGTAGTCATGGGCAAAGTCCTTCATATCGTCACACAGTGCTCGGGTGTCGCCTTACCACATACACAAATTAAACCACAGTTAAGTCTTTTGCGTTCTTGTTAGCAACAGCACATTTACACATCCTTTAACAGATCTGTGTCACCTTCAGTGAGTTTGGAGAAAGAGGAAGAAACAGAGGTAGTTGTGCTTGGTGTGAGGCCGAGAACATTCAGTGACTCCAGCAGAGTTTTCTTGCTGGCCGGGCCTCTGCTGACCCGAGTGTACGCTGCCAGGGAGCGCAGCGACATCTTCTCCGGGGCCTGCAGGCGTCGCTTGATTTCATCATACGAGATTAGATATTTCCCTTAAAAACAGATCAAGACAGTGGGATGGGAATCAGCACAGCATGGACTTAATCGTGTTTAATAATGTCAATCATAAATGCGTTAAACTTGAAATGTACAATGTTTTCAATTACATATCGGGCCACTTACGAGCCTTAGATCCTTTCATGTTGGGATCCAGAAGTGACGACACCTCAGCAAAAGGCATGTGGGTTGCAGATTCTGGATTTGTGCTTGAGTTTGGAGGCGGGTCCTGATTCTGGGGCACAACCTCTGTCTGCTCGGGGGCAGAAACCTGCATCTGGGGCATCTGAATATGAGACTGTAAATGGTGCATTTCCATCTGGTTCTGGTCAAGCTGGCCTTGTATTTGAGGGAGAATTAATGTGCTTTCAGATAAACCCTGGAGCCCCATGCTGCCATGTGCCACATTGCCAGTTTGTTCTGAAGCCACCTGGAAGATGCCCATTACGGGTTTGACCACGGTGAAAACCATGTTCCCCTGGGCGTCCAGGCCCACCACCCGAGTATTTGGGTCCATGTCTTTGCTGCAATGTGACCTTTCTAGCTGAGGGAGGAGGCTCCAGAGGCTTTAATGATCAGATCACCTTAGAGGCCCATGTAGTGTTACAGTATCCTCCTCTGTTCTTAAATTGTTATGGCTGAAGCTGACTAGACAAGGAAACGTAAACTGACTCTCCCTACAGTCCAGATAAACCTCCCACTTTGAAACTGTTAGAGCGTTCCACTTTCTGTGCAGTATCAGCATGGAAACATCACAGCAGAGGATTCATTCTGAAAGAAAAACATAGTAAAAACCTGGTTAGTACCAAATCATTTCTAATTTTCTCACTGAGCTGCTTCACATTCAAAATTAAAGCTCTGTTGACTTTATTAATTATGATACTAATCTATAATAAATAAATAACATTATAATTACTAACTCGCCTGTGGGAAAGTCAAAGTCAATCCATTAGAAGCTATGATAATAATTGTTTTCGGAGAACTCACCCATAATTACTGATTTGCTTTTGGAATAGTAAAAGGCAAAAGGATTTTGTTCCAAATGTTGTTACCCTAACCCAGCTACAACATTAAGTGATGAACACATTCATAATTATAATCCAGTTAAATTATTTATATTTTGATTTGAGCTGTTCTACATAATGAGCAATTTAATTTCTCATAGTAGGCTATATGAAAACACTAATACATTGGTAACCTTTTTGAATCCAGGTCTTTTCTTTTTAGACTGCAGTATTTCAAATGTTACACATGTAAAATAACTATACAAACATAAATTGTTTTAAACAAATGTGAATACAAATCACCAATAACACCATTGATACTTGGTTCTGGTCATCTAATTGTGTTCTTTTTCAATGTTATTCTCTTTAGACTTTACTATATGTTTTTATCAAATACAAGCCCATGATGGAACATGTGCAAAAGTATGAATAGAGGTTGAACATTAATTTGAGGGATAAAGAGTTAGTGTTATCTGGAGAACAAGACAAATCAACTGAGTCCAAAGTGAGTTTCCGTAAATGTGGTTTGGTAGAAGTCAGGGTCACAATGACACTACATATTTGTAATTGTATTCATCGACTTGAATGAAAAAGACACAGCAGGAATGTGATTTTCTCGGTGGGAAAAACCCATCCAGGTGAATTACGCACCATACAAAAGGAAAATGTACGCCTGGCATGGCATGTGTTTAAATTGGACCTTGCAAAGGGCTAAGCAGGCAAGTTAAAGGTCAGCTTCTGTGTCAACATCACTCCTGTTGTCTGTTTTACTCGCAGCTACAGCGCAGCCAGGGCTGAAAGAAGAGATTGGGACGAGACGTATGAACAGGATCTATTTCAGGTCAACTTAGTATCCTGTCACTGTCCAAGTAACCACGCAATAAAATGTAATTAAAAAACGTTATAAATGGCGCAGAGAATCAGCCCATGCAAAACGCGCTTGATTACCATATAGGCCTACTGTACATCTAAATATACAGTGATTACTCGTTTTAAGTCTCGCGCTCAGAACGTGCAGCTCTGGTGTACAAATTAATAACTTTCGAATATATCATTCAACAAGAAAACTTTCCTTCATTTTGGAAACATTTAATAACCACAGTTGCTCATTTTGAATTGTAGGATTAATTTATAAGGAAAAAGCTGACATTAAAGCTAACCTTATCAACTATCGACGCATTATATCAACAATGCTTCATTTATCGTAACTAACATTCATCATGGCTGCCATGGGCGGCTGCTGCTGGGTATGTCTAAACGGCAGGCCCGAAACTTTGCACAAAACGGGATAAACTATAGCGGTTCTGGACGGGACTGCCCAAATGTAACCGCTAACCTAAGATGCAACTAGTGACGGCTGCCCCACTCACCAAACTGCCGTCAGAGTTTTCCTAAAAGGCCACTGATCCTAGAACGGTCCGTATCGACATCAGCGACATTTTTCCTCCTTCTCCGCTGTAGCTTCGGCGGGTTGCAAATCAGCTGTACGTGCACTACCGCCCGAGAGCCGTAATCTCTCCGCTGATTGGTCGATTGATACATCAATCATAAAGTATGTGACTCCTCATTGGTTAGAAATGCCGTCAGTAATTTAGAGGAGGCGGGATTTCCGACGTAGTCTTTTTCATACAATGGGATGAAAATATTATTTTTGTTCCTTTCGGACTTATTTCACAAGTGTTTTCATACACAAATATATCGAAGAAGTCTATTTCAAGCATATAAGTGCGTACATAACCATTTGCAAAATTATATACTTACTTAAAGATACTTTGTATTTGGTGCAGCAGTATGGAAGAAGCAGTTTGACAAGTGATGCGAAGTTGCGAACACCCTTATATATTTAAATAAAATCGCCCTTTCACTCATAAAATGTACACGCATTTGTGATTACAATTATATGTGCAGGCGAGGGTGCCCATGCCAGATGTAAGGACTCAAAACAATCCTAAATAGGACATGTAACTTTCAATATCAGCCATACAATGACTATAATCCTCCAAATTGAATGATAAATGCTAAAACAAGCTAAATAACAGCTCAAATTCCTCTTTTAGGATAACAAATGTGCAGAAATGGTCCATCAGATGGCCTACTTTCCTTTGGATGCTGAATTTCTTCTGCCCATATGTGACTGTTCACCCTCTAGGGGACGTTTTAGAATATTACATCCAATTAGCAGAAAGCATAATGTGAGTAAACATTTCCTGCTGTAGAAATGACTTAGAAATGTCATGGTAACAGATGCGAGACTATTCATTTGCACAGATTCATTATTTAGAAAAATACAATTACAAACTGACACTCATTTTAATCCTGGTCCCACATTTTCATTGGCTGCAATCAAAATGTTTTTAAATGGAACCAATTAATAATGTGTTTGTACCAGAGAAACAAGGAGCAACATTTCTCATCTTCTTTGAATTTATTTAGGTACAAATAAAAAAAATGTACAAAATAAAGCATAGAAAGTAGTAATTATGAAAACAATGTCGATGACAACAAAATACAAGTAAAGGCAACAGTTAAATATTTCATTAAAAACAGCCAACTACTCTTGAAAAGCAACTTGTGGTACTATACATCTACACAAACAGACATGACATTAAACAGTCATGTTTGGGTAAGAGAAGGCATCAACCCCGGGCGTGTGAGAACACAACATTGAGTTTGAATCCAGACGGGCACAACAATCAAGAAGATTTTTTAACTCAAATATGAGCATGTCATTAAATCGGGACGTCACTACAAGATACTGAAACAATTTGATGTCGGGCCATTTCCTATTATGCAGTTTTTACATTGCCATTACAAAGTCTTAATGATTCCCCATTAACTCAATGCTGGCCCTTATCACAAGCACTGAACATTACCAAACCATATATTCTCATAACACACAAACATTAGTACAATGTTGCATTCATAGTGAGCTTGACGTTATCCTGACCTGAGGATACCAAACACAATTTAGCACGACAGCAAGCTAAAGTGGAAACACTGGACAGAACCAAACAGAACTTTATGTTGAACAATCTTTGGCGTCTGCAGGCTGATGGCTCTCAGAGCGCCGCTGCTCAGTGTCCACAGCAAAGCACAGAGGAGACCTGCGTGGAGGTGTCTCAGTCATACTGCCTCACAGTCCTGCCTGATGTGGGTCACTCAGGGGTTAAATGCTGGGCTGGGGGGCGGGTTTGGGTGTTAGTGCTGGTGTTGAGGATAAATTGGGGTGCTGACTCAGTGTCTGCGTGTGCGCTGCGCCCCGGTCCCTGTGGTGCTGATGTAGAGGAGGGGCTGGGGCTGCCGCAGCTGGGATCCCCGCTTCAGGTTATTCTGGGCTGTGGAGGGCTCTGTGTTTGAGCCTGTAAAAAGAAAGGGACATAACAAATATACTCAATACAAAGTTGTTCCTGAGGACAATACTTTGTTTACATTGGCAGTGAAGGTGGTTCACCTGTTTGCTGGATGTTGTGGTGTGCCCTGATTTTGGCGAGAGGAGGGACCCCTCTGAACTGGGGGCGGAGCATGGGAGCCTGTGGGGGCCCGTTGTTATGGAGATGGGGGTCTGATGTGCTGTCCAGAGGGCGGAACCTCTGAGCTGTGGTTGTCTTTGTTTGAGGCAGCTGTAAACAAGAAGAGGGAGAAATTATATCATGCTTTTCTTATTTTGTACTAAAATGTTACTCATTCAATTTGCATCGATTTTTACTAAGCTAATCAAAATATTAAAGGAAGCCTCTATTAATTATTAAACACATTTGTCATCCCACATAACACATTATTACTTCACCTTATTATACTTTAAGGAATCTTGTGTGAAAGTGTCATGATCAGCATATGCATTACTGGGATGTGGCCTAAAAACGTGTTTAATTCGGTTAGGTTAGTTAGTTAGGTTTGCTCAGTTCATCCTTGAGCAATGTCACAACCTGATATGGTTTATTGAGGCTGGTTGCAATTTGCCTGACATTTTCTTACCCTTAACGGCCATAAAGAAATGGCTGCTTTGTTTGTTCTGCATTAATATTTCATGTTAATACATCATTGTCTCCTGTGCATGCATCATTTGGAAAATACTCACTGCTTGACCAGTGACCTCGAAAGAGCGGGAACGCCTCTTCTTGCGGCGAGCCTCAAAGTCCGCCTCTCGGGGCGTCTGGTTTTTGATCGGGACCTGGCGGTTGGGTGGGCGTGTCCAGGTCACCTGCAGGCCAGGCCCCTCCCCCGTACTGCTGGACAGGTTGTCGTCCGAGGTGGCGTGTCTGAGCTCGGGGCTGGGCTGCCTGCCACGTCGCATCGGCAAACCTCTGGGGGGGGCCTCACTCAAAGAGAGGCTGCTCTTCTGCTTCTTGGGGTCCAGAGGGGAGGGCGGAGGGGGTAACCGTAACGAGTCCGCCTCCAGGGCTTTGGAGCGACGACGGGCTGCTTTTACTACGATGTTCTGGACCCCTTTCAGGATTTGCTGCCGCTCTGCAGAGACACAGGGATTTATATTTGACCCACTGTACCACACATTAAAGGCAACTTAAGAAAAAAATACATTTTATGGGCACAGCTAACGGTTCAGAGATTGAAAAAGATTAATTTCATATCATATTTGTATGTGCTAAAAGACTATAAGTTGAACATTCTCAATTCATTAATGATATTTGTTGTCGCTCCACTAACCTGTCCTGAATATATTCTGTTATCTTACCTGTTCGAGTCAGGGCGACCTCCGCCCCGGCCTCGCTGCTCTCGGGGGACGAGTCGAGGTGGCTGTTGATGCTGTGGCTGAGGTGGGTGTAGCTCAGAGAGCTCTCAGGGGCCAGAGGTTGCAGCTGCAGACATGAGATCCAGAGGTGGTCACAGAGTCACTTTGCTTTCAGTCAGGGTCATATTGAGAGCCATATGAATCAACTCTGTGCCTCTCGGAAATGACATGTTTCTTTGAATAGGGCACTTGGATTCTAGCATTCAGAACTCTTTTTCATTTCGTCTATGAGTCACACTGCTGACTCATTGACACAAGAGGAAATTAGATGGAGGTAATATTACCTTAAGCCTGGAACCAATATGTAGAGCTGCATCCATTAGTCGACTAGCTCAGTGGTTCCCATCCTTTTAACTTCAGGGACACGTTTTTTTTATCATTGAGTTAATTTACGGTCCGTGCCTTACTTTTATAAATACTTTTTATATAAAATATTTTATGGATATATAATTATATATTTAATTCATCAAAAAACGACAGACCAGGTGTTAAATTGTAACATTTTGCAGAAATGTTCCTTACTTTTCAATAATTTTTTACTGGTCTTTAAAAGGCCTGGTGATAACCTGTTAAAGATGTATTATTTGCAAAAATGTCATACAATTCAGTTTTAAGCCTCTCAAAATAATTGTTTTGGACTGGCTATGTAAAAGACACCTTGGACTTTGAGAAGCTGGGATGGACATTAATCTCTATTTTGTGACATTTTACAAACCAAACGATGAATCAGTTAATTTTGAAGATAATTTGCAGATGAATCTTTGAAAATTAATTGTTAGCTTTATCCGTACAAAGATATCCTTCTGCTGCTTTGTGAGTTTCAACATGGAAAGCTAAGCAAAAACCCTGAATGGAAAGAGAGTTGAGAGAGAATACTCATGACAGCTCTCCATTGTGCGGGTGCGTGGGCTGCAAATGAAGTTGTTGAGGGAATATATATGCGAGTATAATTCAAAGAGGAATTCGTATGGCTTGAAGTCAAAAGCTCAGGGACAGCTATTGAAATGGAATGAGTCAGAACGAATGCTGCTCATTATAAGTAGAGTTAGAAAAGTCCTCACCTCTCTGTTACCCTTGCCGTTGATGTGGATAGGAAGGGGGGTCATTACAGACGAGTTTTTCAACTGCCTGGCATGAGGGCTGCTCTTGAAAACTCTGTTATTGTCGCTGACAGAAAAAGAAATAGAACAAATGGAGAAATTAACTTTGCTATTGTTATTGTAATATGTACATTTTGTGACTTTTGCTGTTTATATAAAATCAGCTGTTGAACAGAAACATATGAACCAGCTCTTACAGCTCAGGCTCGTGCAGGATGGGGGGCAGAGTGTGTCTACGGATTTTGGCTTGGCCTCGCCTGCTATCAGAGCACATGTTGCGTACACTCTCCTGGTCTGAATCCATGTCCTGCGTGTTGTCGCGACCCTGACCAGGCAGGGTGATCTTTGGTAGAGAGCCCTCCTGAAATAATTGGGAGGAATTATAAGTGATGATATTCGTATAGACAACCATATGTTTGTATCATCTAGTTTAAATACATTTGACTTACCTTGATGGTGTGTCTGATGGTCACCTTATCCAGGGCCATGGCTCGGTCCAGCTTCCTCTCATCTAGCTGCCTCATGTAGATCTCATACAGCTCCTGGAGGTGTGGAGGCATGAGCAGACTGTGGTCTGGAACACAAACACACAGTTCAGGTAAATTAACAACCGACTATTCTATTTCAATTCATCTACTGATTACTTTCAGGCA